GACTGTTTGTTTCAGCCTCTTAATGGTTCAAATGTCTGAATGATTAAGAGATTTGCCTCTGAATGATTAAGTATTATACAGAGTCTGAATGGTTAAGACCTTTTATCTGAATTGATCAGACATTTGCCTCTGAATAGTTAAGCAATATACTAGCTCTTAATGGTTCAGACCTCTTACTGGTTCAGCACTTAATGATTCAGACCTCTTACTGGTTCAGCACTTACTCATTCAGAAGTTGCCAAACAGCCCCTTACTTTCACAAGGTCAAACTTAATTAACTTTCTTTCCCTATTTTCGTTAGTCATTTGATAAAAAAAAGTCATGTCACCACGAGTTTTGTAGAGCTTTTGATGTAATTTTTAATTCTATGCCGTTTTTCATATAAAATGATTTGAAAATAACTTCAGTCAACTATCGTAAACTCAAACAAGCAATTTAAATTAGGATAGAAGGAGTATCATTTTTATTTAATTGGGATGGTGGTCAAAGTTCATCAATTTTGATTTCAGAAAATCAAAACTAAACAAATATTTATGGACAAAGGTAATATGTTTTAGTTCTACTTTGATTCTCTCAAAGAAACCTTAGTTTTTTTAATAGCTAACTTATTCATGAGTGAAGTTCTCTTCAAACTAATCTCAACTCTTAAGCACATGAGTGAGGCTTGATATTGGATGTGGAGAAGCTTGGAGTCACTTTCTTGCCACTACACCAAGATGTTTCAACAAAGAAGCCGTAATTAGATTATTATTAATAACACTAAAAAGTAATACTAATTCCAAGGTAAAATATTACGGAGTATATGTTTTTCCCTATTACGTATAAGAATAGTGGTGTTGTAAATTCTCAAATTTGACATTATTTGTTAGTATTTCATAGTGTTTTTTAGGGTTACAAATCATATTTTCTCATTTCCCAATGTTTTTCTTAAATTTCGTGAAAAACAAATGTTGCAATTTTTTTTTAGAAAGAAGGGAATATGAACAAAGTTTATTTCCTTAAAATAGTTCTAGAGCACGCAGAAAAAAATAAGTCCAAAATTTTCATAGGGAATATTTTTTTTTTGAAGGGATTTTCATAGGGAATATTTTCACAGGGCAAGATTCTCTTTATTTTCTTAAACATCATACCCATTCAAACTCGGCAATGCCCAATAAAAAACATAAAGGGCCTGTTTGGGAATAACGTTAGAAATTAGCGTTAGCGTTTTGTATAAAATTTTAACGGTGCAGATTACTTTGAAAACACTAATGCTAAACACTGCTTGTAGATAGCCTTTTTCAAAACGTTAACGCTATTTCCAAACAGGCCCAAAAAGGAACAAATCAAACGACCAATCGCGATGGTTCCCATTCCATTTATAAAAAAATCGTTATCCCCAACCAAACATGACCTAAATGATCCCGAATCAAGAATTGCAGTTGTGCTCATTATCAGGACAATTCAACTCGCCCCCAATATTTCAAAATTTGCAATGTAAGGTTCATATTTCTTTCATTTCCCAGAGATTTATATCATTTCAGCCTACAAAGTTGACAACTTTGGGTCCCTGTCGTTTCTTCTTCACTTTAGCACTGTCCTCTTCCTTTGATTGCTCCTCTATCATGAAGTCGTCTTCCAGATCATCGCCGCCTATGATTTTGGTGACTTGCCCTGTCGGTAGGTCTTCAATTTTAACTGTGCAAAGACCAAAAGGACAACTCAACACGATAAGAACGGCATACCCCTACTTGGAAGTAGAGAGACATAATTATTTTATTCGAAATTATTGGATAAAACTATTTGATCCTTGGAAGTGGGAAGGACATGTGTATAGACCATAGATACCCCTACGAAAAACTATCCTAATAGTTTGTTTATTCATTTATATGGGACAATCTAATATGAGAACACATAATTGCAAAATAAAACAAGAAATGAACCAATATGATATGGTCCCACACTCCCAACCCCTACTCCTTGGAGTAGAGGTATGGTCTGTGTACGTCTTGCCTCCTACAGACACTACTCTATAGTGGGATTTACGGATTTGTTTGGTTTGATTCGGTTCGGTAATGTCATACGGTCTCAAGTACACACAAATTAAGGAAAATATTGTAGATGACCGTTAGGGACGCCTTCTTGAAATCGTGCCATAGTGGAAGAAACGTCCTAGCTGCTAAAAAATACGGAGCATATAAGTGTATATGGATGAACTGCTCAAATAGCTTACATCTTTTATTGGATCCATGAGTTGCATTTGTGCTAATTTTGTTGGGACAATGTTTGGCCAAATGTGTAATGCCACCACAAATGTTGCAGCTACCACCCTGAACAAAAAAAAAAAAAAAGAAGTTTGTGAGCGTAAGCATGATGAACTGAATCAAAGAGGTCAACTTTACCGTGAACTCTCAAGGTTGAACATGCATACGAACCTTGAAATAGATCCCGTGGGTATTTTTAGGGCAGTCCTTACTTAAGTGCCCGCGTTCTTTGCATATAAAGCAACTGGCAAACTTTGTCCCTCCTGCATAATATCAACACTTCTAGGGTCAGGTTACCATATCACTCTATATTTGTTTAAGCCATACCCACCCCAAAGTATAGGTTCAGCTGTTCATTTAAGTTCTGTTTGGAACCTGGATAATGCTTGGGAAAGAAAATATTGGGGAATTGGAAAGGAAACAGAAATTGAGTACTGATTTCAGAAGCTGGTTTACCTTCCTGCAAAGGTATGGGGCATTTCTCCAAAGAATGCCCAGTTTCTCCACAATTGTAACACAATTTCTTGTCCATAGTGTCATCCGTTTTGTTTGGGCAGTTCTTGAGACTGTGACCACGTTTCCTACACAACAAGCATATCTGCAAACATGAATCAGTTCAAAACAAAAAGCCCATCAAGTAAAGCAAACCAGACAGTGCAATAACAGAGATGAATCTTAACCTTGTTCTTCTCCCATGAAGCTTTTTCTGGGCAATTTTTAGCTATGTGGTCTATGCCTTTACAAATGAAGCAGCTTTCACCGGGTTTCATTCCCGGGACTCGAAGGGGATGTCGTTTACGCCTCTTCGGGTTCGAGGCGTCTTCGGAATCGGGTCGTTTGCGCTTTAATTTGTTCCCTTTCTTCTTCTTCTTCTTCTTCTTATTCGGGTCTTCGGGTGCAGCCGGTTCTGGATCGGGGAAAAGCTCCGGATGAGCTTCCTTGAACCGCTTTCTAGCTTTTCTCTGCCGTTCGTTCGCCATTGCCTTTCTTCTTGGAGCTCTTCTCAGCCGTGAAAGGTGAATTGAGAAACCCCGGGCAGCATCTAGGGTTTTTGTCTTCTGAGAATTGGGATTAATGATGATGGACGTCTTAAACTCGGGTTAACGTATGACCCGACCCGACCCGACCCGACCCCGAGTATGGACAGCCCTTTTCTCTTGTACTACGTATTTTCTTAGCTTTCCGAAGGCCTTCTTCTGTATTTCATTAATTTTACTCGAGTGGGCCGGCCCGGCTAAAACCCATATGGGCGCATCGGGGAATCGAGTTAGGCTCGTATGGGCCGGTAGGTTCGGCTCATGACCCATTTGGCCCTGTATGATGGACAAGTAAGGCCAAGCTCTTAGCCTAATTAGGGGTGCACATTAATACCGGCCCGTCATTATTGCAAACCGTAACGATATTCTACCGAATCAATAAACAATTTTTCAAATGATTTTAGTAAATTATATATGAAGTATGAAACGAACTGAATCATTTTTAAAATAATATAGGACGGGGTTCAACCAAAAATAAGATATCTTACTTTTATTTCTTAGTTAGAAATCTTGGTCTAGTGAAATCCTTGCAATTTGATATTTTATATTGATAATTCACAATATTTTATAACATTTTATTTCAGGTGTAGTGATAAAATTTGACATTATAAATCTCGTTTTGGTATGAAAAAGGTAGTTGAATTTTCTACTTATTATGTCTTTCTCTCGTTAATATTAGTTATCTTGATTGTTTGTGCTTACGTTTCTCTATATACGGAGTATGTCTTTATGTGTCTTCTATGAGTTTGTGCTATTTTTATTACTTGATTCAGAAGTCTCTTGGAAACAGCTTCTCTACTTACAAGTAGCTAGGGGTAAGATTTGCATCCACACACTCTCCTCATACCATATGCTAGTGGAATTCAATTGAGTTATTGTTGTTATTGTCTTGATATGAAAATAGTGAAATTCATATTTTGATATCTTGAGAATATTTAAGACGTATTTAGGTATTTTTCTCCCTTTTTATCTTAACACACACAGTGACACACACACACATATTCAAATGTACAAAAACATACACATCAAATCTTAGTTTTTTGTTGATTTTATCAAACTTCTATTTTCAAGAAAAATACTCCGTAATCAATTCATGGTCCATGCTGCAAAATAATTAATATATCGTATAAATCAATGAAGTACAAAATTGATAAAGAAACTAAATAATCAAAAGCAAGATTTTTTTTTAATTTTTTAAAGACCAAACAATTAAATTTTTTTTATATAGATGAAATATAGAGACTGGATCAGAGTTAGGTTAGTCTCATTTATTTTTTTTGAAGACTAGGCTTTTCAAAGTGGCTACGAAAAAGATTGGACAATGACGTCCTAAATAATATTTTTCCCGTCCCTAAAAAAGGCTGCCACAGTGCAATTTTTTTGTCAAATTCTGGCACCATTTAATGACGAATCGAATATAGTTTAAAATAATTAAATATTATTAAAATTTGATAGTTTAAAATTATATTTTAAAAATAACCCAATTTTATTAAATTTAATTATAACTAAACATACGTATTTAGAGAAAATGAAAAAAAATTGGAATTATATATTTCTTTTGTTTTGCTCCATATTAAAATGAAAAGTCTATTTGAAAGCTTCTGAAATAGAAAATAATAATTTAGATGGGATTAATCATTCTCTTTTGACACAATTAGAAACATCAATTCATTTGACCAATTCAATGTGTCAAATTTTAACAAATCAACAATGAGTGGTCATGGATAAAGAGAAGTCATATTTTTTTTAAATAAATTAACACTATAATTGGTTCAAGCAATTTGTAAGGAAAATAAAAGGAAATAGTTGTTTCTCATTTTTTCATTAAAACGGGAGGAATTTTGTTTGCTCTCATCTTAGTATATTTTGTCTTCCCACTTACTTTTTATTTTCATTTTTATTATCTTTTCCGCTCTAACCAAATAAAGAAAAATATTTTCCTCTTATTTTCTTTTATTTTCCCTACCAAAACCCATCAACCACACATAATGTAAGTTTGCCCATCATGTCACGCTCATGAATGGCATATTCAATTTGTACTCATAACTATTAAAAATACGAAACGTGCAAATATTTGATATTTCTACTTGATAAAGATTTAAGAAATTATTAAAATAAATAAATAAATAAAAAATAAAAGTGAATTTGCACTAAATAATACTAAAACATATGTCATTTTCTAATGTAGTACTTACACTTTTTTATCCCCTAAATAGTACTTGAATAATATCTAATGGCGGGAACAATATCCAGTGAAGTTGAACATTTAGTTTGAACAATGTCCAGTGGCGGTGAACATTTACTTGAACAATGACCATAGATATTACATTGATGAATAGAAAAACATATGGTACTACTTTAGGAAAAGTCACTATGTTTTGGTATTAAATAAGATATCACTTTTTTTTCTGAAAATTATTGCGCAAGAAAATTATTTTGTTTACATTTCAATTTTCTTAATAATTGTACACTTTCACTTTATTTTCTATTATTACTCTCTTAGGCTATACGGTGCCATCACTAATATCCTCACCATCCTCATTTTCATCTTAACGCCACATCAGCTTTTTCGATTTCATCTCCATTCAAGAGTGTGGATCCTCAATTCCTCATTCCATCCCCATTATTTAAAAAATTTATTTTTACATATTACATTTATAACAATTTAAATAATTTTTTAAAATTAAACAAAATTAACTGAAATTAATTTTTTTAAAAAAACTGAAATCACAAGAAGAAAGAAACAAAATAAAAAACTGAAATTAAAAGCCAAAAAACTGAAATTAAAAACCAAAATTAAAAACTAAATTTTAAATAATACTTTTATAAAATTAAATTAAATTTTTAAAATAAAGCTTTAAAAAATTAGAAATTTAAAAATAAAACTGAAACTAAAAAATAAAAAAAATAAAATTAAAACTTGGATCTAAAAAGAAAAAGGTCAGATTTGAAACAAATTGAAAAGTAAAAATTAAGTGAAAAAGACCAGAGCGGAAGAAGAAGAAAAAGAAGGAAGAAGGAGAAAAAAACAGTGTCAGGCTCGTGGCATCGGCGTGCAAACGTCGTCCACGTCGAGTCGCGATCGGGGGCGATGTTCCCCGTCGCGACCTAGCACATCGTGTTGGAGTTCCCACATCAGAAAATACAAATAAATACCACTAGCATATATAAAAGGGTGAAGCCCTACCAATCAGTTTAAACTTTTGGGTTATAGTGGATCGCAACTTTATATGTTAGTGGTATTCATCTTTATTTTCCAATTTGGGAACTCCAACACTCCCCGGACACGCCGAGTCGCCGATGCCATACCCGACAACCTTAGTGTTAAAATGTATGTAACTTATCTTTTTGAAGAAGTTTTAAATGATACTCTGATTATATTATTCACCCTGATTCATGTGACATTGCCCGACAATGTCATAATATGATCTGGGGGTCCTACGATGTTTCCTTCGTAAAATAATTGTACATATTTAATTTTTTGAATTCCGTATTATATAAAATATTGTTGTACATATCTAGAAATTAGTTTAAATTAAAATAAAATATTGGATAATGAAATGCAATTCTTAATTCTACCCCGAACTAATTGATAATATTGGATAAAATAAACCTAAGAGTACACCAAAATAAGGTATATCATTTGTACACCAGACAAACACAAATATTTAGTATCTGTGATCATAAACATTAACTATTCGTGTTTGCATGGTCAAAGGACAAAAGATATACTCCGTACAAGGAAAGAATCTGAATTTGACCAATTTAAGAGGTCAAAGGAGAGAAGATACACAAGAAAGAAATTCGTCAAAAGTCAAAGGAAAATAAATGAAGAGTTTGAATGAAGAAAATGGAGGAGTGGAATGTTATACTCGTAACTTATAACATGAGGGGAGGGGAATAAATTGGACACTCACATGCCAGCGAGGTTATTTGATTTTACTGTTGAATTAATTGACATCCTGTTGTAAAGTCATAAATTTATACTCGTAGATGTTTTAATGTTATTTCTAGTCAATCTCTTTATAAAGTGTATGCTTTTAATTTTTTACTTTTAAAAATACCGGCAAGGTTTTGATGACACTGATGACAGTGTCCGGATGACACTCACCCATTGTAAGCATCTCTGGTACTCCAAATGAAAAAAATGATGGTTCATACCTTTCCTATACCGGTAAACCCTTCACTCCAACCAAGTCTCACCCCGTACCCCCACCTTAGGCCCTCCTTACTGCATAGCAGTCACACATTTGGAGGAGGTAAAAGAGGAGTCTAAGGTGGGGGTACGGGATAACGGGGGTGGGACTGGAGTGAGGGTGCGGTGGGGGTTCAGGGGGTGGGTTAGGGGAGGTAGAAACCATAATTCTTTGTATGTAGTGTATTTGTTTATATCAAAGAATTGAATATTCTTATTTGATATTCATATTATGAACTCCACGTTTTCTAAAAAATTATTGGAACCCTCAGTTATTAAAGAGGACGATAATTTATGAAACGAATGGAGTATATATATAATTAGAGTATGAGAAGTGGGATCATATTGGAGATTTCATTGATCAAGCAAGAGAAAAGAGGTAAGAGGAAGGGAAGCTAAACAAAGGATGGAAAGTGTTAATATCAGACAACTCATACAAGGTTTCAGTGTAGCAATTTTCCTCTTCCTGCTATGGAAAATATTGTACAATTGCTATCTTCTTCCTTCTTTGGCCTATGCAAAACTTACAAAGCATGGGTTTGGAGGTCCAGTGCCTTGTTTTCCTTTTGGGAACCTCAAAGACATGAAAATGGAGAAGAAGAATAGTACAAGAGAGATTATTACTATTCATTCTTCATCTTCTTCTTCATATTCACCTGGGGTAGGCATCATCACCCATGACATCCACTCATTGGTCTCCCCTTATTTCGCTCGCTGGCAAAAATTATACGGTATGCATGTGTAGGTGACCCCGCTCGTAAGCATTGTATTACGTTGATTTTAGACTTGTGATATACTACTCCGTACTACGGGGGGTGTGTGTGTCTATATATATATATATATATATATATATATATATATATATATATATATATATATATATATATATATATATATATATATATATATATAATGTAGCAATAGAACCAAAATTTTTTCATCAAAATGAGTCTTAAATTTGTGTTTTCTAGAAATATTTCTTTTACTTTGACCTTATAATTTAATAAATTAATTCAAATATCGAGAATAAGTTAATCTTGTACGGAGTATTTAATAATTTAAAAACGAATTAATAAACCAAATGAATTTTAAAGGAGCTAAAAACAAAGTTTATAAATTTTAAAGGGATCCAAACATACTGTATTTAAATTTGAGGAGGATTATTTGAAAAAATAATAATTTTACAAGGTAAAAATTTTCAGAATGACCAAAAATAAAACTCGTTAATTTTACAGGGTCAAAAAAACATATTTCACCATTTTCTTTTTTATTTTATTTCCAAATTTAAATTTTTTCTATTTGTTATTTTAAATTATGATTTTTAGTTTCTCATACTCCGTATAATTTATCTTTAATTTTGTAAATTTTAAATTTGTAGTTTTATCTTTTATAAATAAATAAATAAATAAATACATACATACATACATACATACATACATACATACATACATACATACATACATACATACATACATGCATATATATATATATATATATATATATATATATATATATATATATATATATATGATTAAAAAATAATTTCTCCTAATAGCCAATTCCAAAAGCTACTCCCTCCGTCCCAATTTAAATCGCCTGTTTTGACTTTTGGGCATATTCAAGGAAAATAAAAAATAAAGTTGATTTTTTGAAATTGACATTATTTTTTAGGAGGGGTGATGATAAATGAAAAGATAAGGTGAAGAAGAGTGACTTATTTTAGGGGTAGTTTAGGTATTTTATTTTTAAAAGTTTACGAAAACAACTAACATGCAACTTATTTTGGGACGGAGAAAAAAGACAAACATGCGATTTAAATTGGGACGGAGGGAGTACTATTCTTGGCTTGTCAGATTTTGACTTTTTGGGCCGAGCAGCCAAGCAAAAGAGTCACTTGCCAAATAATGACTTTGGTTGACTTTGGTTGCTTGATTAATCAAAACAGTCAAAGTCAGTCAAATATACTAAAAGCCAAACGAAAAGCTATTTTCCAAACATGGCCACAATAAACTACACCCTATTTGATTGTAAGTTTGTTGCAGGGAAAGTATTCATCTACTGGTTGGGTACAGAGCCATTTCTTTACATAGCAAACCCAGAACTTTTGAAGCAAATTTCAGCTACAGTTATGGGTAAAAGTTGGGGCAAGCCTACAGTTTTCAAGGAGGATAGGGAACCCTTATTTGGGAAAGGACTTAATATGGTGGAGGGCGATGACTGGGTTCGCCACCGACACATCATTACCCCCGCTTTCACCCCATCTGCTCTCAAGGTAATCATTAAACTGACAATCTATTTATGATAGAATTTAGGATGTGGAAAAGGTTACTGGATTAGACCAAGACGAACCACATTAAAAGATTGAATCTAATTAATTATTCAATTTAACTCAAGAGATTGGTGTGTGTTTTAATCTAGGGCATGACAAGTTTGATGGTGGAGTCAGCAAGGAAGACGGTGGATAGATGGACAACCATGACCGAGTGTGGGTGCGTGGAAATCAACGTCCAAGGTGAAATTACAAGCATGACTGCAGAGATCATCGGAAAGGCGAGTTTTGGAATAACGTACGAGGAAGGGAAGCACGTGTTTGAGAAGCTAAGAGCCATGCACGCGACCCTCTTCAAGTCCACGCGTTACGTGGGCGTCCCTTTTGGGAATTTGCTTTCCCCCAGAAAGACAATGGAAGCCAAGAAGCTGGGAAAGGAGATCGACGACCTCCTCATAGCCATCATTGAAGACCAACGAAAGAGATCACCGAGTGGAAGAGACTTGTTGAGTTTGCTTCTGACAGAGAATGAAGAGATGATGGGAAAGACAGCGTTGACGAGCAAAGAGTTGGTGGACGAGTGCAAGACGTTCTTCTTTGGAGGATACGAGACGATAACATTGGCGCTGACGTGGACATTGCTAGTTTTGGCCTTGCACCCGGAGTGGCAAAGGGAGCTCAAGGAGGAGATCAAAGAAGTGATTGGAGATGGCGATTGTTGTGAAGTTGATGCCACTAAGCTTGCCGAGCTAAAGAAGGTAAACTTCTCACTTTTTCTTGTGTTATTTCATTTCAAGAAAAACAGTCACTCCATTGTTTAAGTGCAGATGGGGTTGGTGATGAGTGAGGTGCTCCGCCTATACCCTCCATCACCAAATGCGCAACGACAGGCACGAGCCGATATCCGAGTGGACAGCATCGTGGTCCCCAGGGGGACTAACATGTGGGTCGACATTGTGTCGATGCACCACGACAAAGAGTTATGGGGAGAAGATGCCAACGAGTTTAAACCGGAGCGGTTCCAAGATGACATGAATGGTGGGTGCAAGGGCAAAGCCGGGTTCTTGCCTTTTGGGTTTGGAGGGAGAATGTGCATTGGCCGAAACTTGGCAACTATGGAGTACAAGATTGTGCTTACCTTAATCCTCGCCAGGTTTTCCTTTTCGGTTTCGCCAAACTACAAGCATTCTCCTTCTATAATGTTCTCCCTAAGGCCAGCGCATGGGTTGCCTCTTCTAGTCAGCACACTGCAAAACTAATGTGTTTTTTTGTAAGCAGTGGTATGCCAAATAAGAAGAATAAAGCAAAGCACTGAAGGATTGGAGAAAATATATCTGTTGGGAATGTTCTCATTGTTGAATATAATGTACTGTACTGATTAATCCTTCTTATATAGGGCACTGAATAAAAAGGTAATGACATTAAGAGAACTTCTTTTGGACTGTAATGAAGTTGCAGTATATAAAGCATCATTATTAACCCGTCACGATATCATAGTTTAAAGAGAAGAACCCTAAAACAGGGGGAGGCTCGAGGGGAAGCGAACAAGCATCCATTCTTTCTCATAAGCCACCAGATGGCACCATCCTAGTTGCTTGAGCAATGAGAGCTTTAGATCATAAAATTTCTTCTTAGGGGGGTCACCATCTTCTTGAATCATGTCATTCAAGACCTGGTTCAAACATTCAATCCGTAAAACAACCTTGACAACAAGTATATATTTACAGGATAAAGCCATTTTATCCGTTTTTGAATGAATTATGTTGTTTTTTTACCATTTATGCACTTGAAGTGCTAGTTTGAAACATCACAAATATGATATTTTCTTAAATAAGCAGTAGAAGTGTTTTTTTAAATTAATGTTACAAATCATTTAATTTCATATGCCACGCGCTTATCCTTCAAAAATAAGTTGCCACAAACACACTCTTAATCTCGGTTATAATCACTAAAAAACCCCCAGACTCGAATATGAATTTGCAGTTCAAACTCTTATATGTAAAAGAACATGCAAGAACAGGGATAACAGCCAATTACCTTAAGTGCAGTTCCTAGTCTTCCTAGACGTCTCTCGTGTATAACAGAAAGTGTTCCATATTTGGGCGAGTTCACATCTACCCACTTCTTTAGTTCTTGGAAGTTCTTTTCAAACAAGTCTGGCTCAACAGTAAGCACCACTGCAGGTTGGGCATCTATCTTGTCGGAAAGTTGGCCATTCTAACATGAAAAAGACAATCGAGAATGAAAATCTAAGGAATAAAAAACAATTTCACTTAAGACAACCATGACTGATTTATAACTTAATGTGCTATATTACAAAACAGACCAACACGGTGCCCCTGAGAAGAATATGTTGTCCAAAAAAGCACTAACTGTATCATGTTGATGTTTTAAATCGCTGCCAAAGCCAATCCTTATATACAAATAATACCTTTAATGATTCAATCGCTGCCAAAGCCAATCCTTTCTGATAGAGTGCTTCTGTCAACTGGTCACGAATTGTTTCCATTTTTTTCTTTATTTCCTAATAACATATTGATTTTTTTATAAGTTCAGCACATAATTATTGTGACAAAAGACAGAAGAACTGGTAAAATGATACCGCTTTGAGGGTATTGTAAATTTGACAAAATCTCTCGTGATTTTTGTTCGATTGTTTTTATTAGAACTAAGATGTAATACTCTTATATATGACAAAGTGAGGGGAAAAAATCAATGCTCACTTCAGCAGCTTCATCTTCAGCATCGGTTTTGATGGAAAAATGTCTGGCCAACTCATCTCTATCAATGCTTTCAACAACCTCATCTGCTGCAGCAATAATCTGCCACAAAGCATGCTCTGTAAGAGAAGCTTTTAGCTTTAAAACAACTGCTCAGGTTTGAAAATTATTGCAGAGAAGTTACCTCTTCATGATGACGGATCTTGTCTCGAACATTGTTTTGTGAAAGTAAACATTCCAATATTTTAGCAAGCAATGTGGTATATTTTGGGTATTCTGACTGCCATAACAGAATCAGGAAGCGATTGGTATATGTGTGTAGACAATGGCGGAACTAGAACACTTTGGAGGGTGCTCTTTGACAAATGTATATATCTTCTAAAAGAACTGAATTGACAATAATAATGATAAAAATAAAACACATACAACTATACAAGTCTTCATCTATAATTGACATTTTAAAAAGCTCAAGTGTCGACTAATATTACCAAATAGTCATTCAACC